ATTTCAAGAACAGGGAAACTAATCAATGGCAACAGTGGTTAGAATAATGAGTTCCTATAGGGAGGAGAGAGGGCATAGAAACTGACCACACAAGACCACACTACTCTGTGGTGCTGGCAAAGTTTTCTTTTTGACTGGTTGGTAGTTTTATCGGTTTTAATTTGTGATGACTCACTGTGATGTAAACTTCTCTCTTATCCTTTTTGTTTATTATGGTGCACAAGTTTTTCCAAAAAGTTAAAAAGATAGTGAAGAATACATTACCAAAATTAAAAACAAGTAACCCCCAAGAAAAGAGTATAGTTATAATTAGGTCTATATGTGTTCATCTGAAAAGATGCCTGAGGGATGTAAGGGAAATTACCAATTGCAGAATTTGAATAGATGTCTGGATGTCTGAGGTATGTAACACTAGTTGTAGAAAAGTATCTGCAGTATGATCTTATTTGTGCAAAGTAAGAGAGAGAGAGAATTTCTGAGCCTATTTCTTTGGAGCCAAACCCAAAATTAGTCGAAAGAAACTTTAAAAATCAGGGCAGAAATAAACAAAAAACAGACTAGAGACCAATAAAATAAAAAGTTGGTGAGGTTTTGGTTTGTTTGTTTGTTTGTTTTTGTATTTTTCTAGGGAAAGCATCTTGCTCTGTCACCCAGGACGGAGTGCAGTGCCTCTGTCGTGGCTCACTGCAGCCTCCAGCTCGTGAGCTCCAGAGATCCTCATTCTTCTGAGCATGCTGGGAATACAGGCATGCGCCACCACACCCAGTTAAGGTATTTTTTTCTTTCCTTTTTAAAAGATGTAGTATATTTTTGTTGCCCAGGATGGTCTCAAACTCCTGGCCTCAAGTGATCCTCCTGCCTTGGCCTCAGTGCTAGGATTACAGGCATGAGCCATTATACCTGGCTGAAACATTGGTATTATGAACAAAACAAAATTGACAAACCATTAGCTAGACTAACTAAAAAAATAAGAGAGAAGACTGAGATAAGTAAAAATGAGAAACAAAAAAAGGAGACTTACAATTGATGCCACAAAAATACAAACAATCATTAAACATTATTATTAACAACTTATGTCAACAAATGGGAAAATCTAGGGGAAATGGATGAATTCCTGGACACATGCAACCTACCAAGACTGAACCAGGAAGAAATAGAAAGCCTGAACATACCGATCACTAGTAACAATATTGAATCAATAATAAAAAGTCCACCATCAAAGAAAAGTCCATGATTGGATGCCTTCACTGCTAAATTCTGCCAAAGTTTTAAAGAACGAAAAAGACCAATTCTTTTCAAGCTATTCCAAAAAATTGAAGAGGGGGAAATTCTTCCAATCGCATTTTATGGGGCCAGCATTATCCTGATATCCTGACAGCAAAACCAGACATAAACACAACAACAACAAGAACAGTACAGGCTAACATCTCTGATGAACAGAGAAACAAAAATCCTCAACAAAATACTAGCAAACAGAATCCAGCAGCACATCCAAAATATAATCACCATGATCAAATGGGATTCATCTCAGGGATGCGAGGATGGTTCAACATATATAAATCAATAAGTGTGATACATTACATCAATGGAACGAAGAAGAAAACGTATGATCATCTCAATAGATGCAAAAAAAAATTTGACAAAATTTAACATCCCTTCATCATAAAAATGCTCAACAAATTAGGTGTACAAATCAAGTACCTCGACACAGTAAAGGTCATATACAAAAAATCCACAGCCACCATCATATTGAATGGAGAAAATTAGAAAGCTTTTCCGCTAATAATTTGAGCATGACAAGGATGCCCAGTTTCACCAGTCTTTTTTTTTTTTTTTTTTTTTTTTTTTTGAGATGGAGTTTCTCTCTGTATCCCAGGCATGATGTGTTTCTCTGGGGTTTGGAAGACTCAAAATGCTCAGGGTAGAGAGGTGAGAGAGCTGTGTTGATGAAAATTAAAATACGTCATTTCTAGGTAATAGAAAGATTTACTGTGTTATTCTTTTAAAGAATGCAGTGACATTTATTAGATGTGCCAATGTAATATAGATATGTGTGTAAATATACAGCACACAATATATGTGTGTGTATATATATATATAATACATACACACATATTTGCTTAGTTTGCTGGCTGCATCAAGGAAGAGAAGTGTCAACTTCCATTCCCTTAATGTGGCCGAGCTGCCCCTTAGATTCTGACAGTAGAAGTGATTTTGAAATATATCCATAATTAGTAAATCAATTTATGCATCTCTTTGTCTCCAGGTACAGGTAGAATAAGCACATCCCTCCGACTCTGGGAAGGTTCTGGCAGAGGACTGAGCTGGAAAGAGGATTTCTGGGTAATTTTGGCAATCCACACAATGCCTGTCAGCCTCAGTTGACTGAGGCATGGAATGGGGATTTACTCTCTGTATGCCTTATAGAGTGCTGCGATGACTCAAAATGACGGGAAAGCTCCAGCAGCGACAGGCAGCTTCTTCCCAATGCTAGCACGCAGTGCAGCTGGAGAAAGGGGAAGGAAAGGGTCCCTTGAGCAGAGGCCTCGAATCTGCAGAGACGCCTGTGGGCTGTCCTTAGGGCGGCGCATGGCTCCCACTCTGCGCCCCTCAGTCTTGCTTTGCCCACTTGGGAAAGCGTCATCTTCCTTGTTTCAGTCACACTGGGTGAGGAGGGAGTCCTGCCACAGGGAGTGGGACTCAGAGTGCAGTGAGACTGTGGACTCTAAGGTGGCTTTGCGTGGGCACCCAGGGCCTGGCAGTGTGAAGAGGATGTCCCCGCAGAGGGAGGTGGCCCAGCATGGGGGATGAAGCCCGAGGAGAGTGAGAAGCGCACTGAAGGAGAGCGGACCGGCGGGGGCTGTGGGGCCTGAGCAGGAGCAGGAGGCTGTGGACGCGGCTGAGTGGCCTGGCATGGGCACTCGGAACTCAGCAGGGACTGGAGCAATTCTTAGGGCTAAGAGTGACAAGCTTGTGCTTCTTAACGACATTCTTTAGGGTTGCTGGTGCCATGTGCTGGTAAACTGTAGCTGTTTCTACATCAAACACGCATAGGGCCCCGCTGCAGCCCGCAGGCGAGTGCTCGGCACCCCCTGGCGGCCGGTGGTAGCCCTTACGTGCGAATCCATATTGCTACAAAGTAATCAATGGGCGACAAAGACAGCGTGATGAGGAATGGGATCTTTACAATAGTCCCAAAGTGTGTCCTCACAACATAGTCACTGATTAAAACCAGAAAAATAATGTAGTCATGGTAGCGAAGCGTGACACCCACCACTTTATTCAATGATCAACGTGAACATCATTATTCTCGGGGCAAACTAAAGTCCCATGCCCCTGGCAGAGTGGGAGAGGAGCGCAGCGGGTGTTTGTGGTATTTCTGCCGAAGTTACAGAACCTGAATCTAATCGTGAGACAGTACTTCAGGAAAAAACGAAGTGAAGGGCATTCTACACAGTCAGTCTCCTGTGATCTTCACACTGTGTTCAGGTCATGAAGGTGAAGGGAAGACAGAGGGACTTCGTGGGTTTCAGGACACTGGAGAAGCGTGACAACCGAATAAGGCACATGACTCAGAAACGGATCCTTTGCTATAGAGGACACTACTGGGGCGTTGGCTACATTTTGCATAGGGCCTGAAGGCTATGTGGAGTTATTGTATCAGTGTTAATTTCTTGATTATGGTTATAAGGTGAAAACGCCTTTGCATGAAAAACACACTAAAGTATTGGGGTGTTGGCGTTTCATGTTGACAACCTACTCTCAAAGGTTCAGGAAAAAAAGTCGTACTATGCTGGCAATTTTTCTGTAATTTTGATGTTGTTTCAGAATAATAAAATGAAAAATGAAACTGACCAAGTCCACCTGGTTAATAAATGACAGCTGTGGTTCAAAACTCAGGTGTGCCTTTCCCCTAAAGCCATGCCCTGCCCTGCCAACCACAAGGCCCTGCACATCCGAGTTGGCCTCTGTCCCTGCTCATCACCTACAAAACAGCCCTGCCCCCCCACAGCCGAGTTGCTGGAGCTGCGCCCCACCTGCCCCTGCCCTGCACAGGCCTGACTCCCCCATCCCACACCTGGCCCAGCACTTACCACATAGTGTGGCAGGCAACACTGGGGCAGCTGAAAGACCCTGTGCTACAAATTGCACTGGCCAGCTTCCTGCTCCTGGGAGCGGGGTCCATGGCTGAGCTTCTGCTCCCCGGAAGAGCTCCAGACTCCTCAAGGGTCTGAGATTTTTCAAACCAATTCCAAATAAGCCAGGGGAGGTTTTCCTGTCTTGGTTTCCATCATCACCACTTCCACAGTTGGAGATTCCCTCCTAATCCAGATGCTTGAACCAGGACTAGGACTTCATATATCACTGGGACACTTAGCATAATCACCATTGCAGATTGCCAGACATCACCCAAAGTGATGTTCTACCAAAGACAGAAACAGCAGCTCTCCCGTGACCTTCCAGGTGCTGCCCTGACTCCTCCAGCTGAACCTGCTAGGGCAGACGAAAGTGGAACATGCAGCATATTTCCCTGCCACTCTGTCCATGTGCCCACCAACTTGGCTGCAGGCTCCAGGGACACCAGCTGGGGGGGCCTGAGGCTCAGAGCTGAGCAAGGTTACAGGGCAGATAGGTTGGCCTGGATCAACCTGACCACCCTCAACTGGAGCGGTGACTTCTTCACCGTCTGACACTAAACCAGGAGCCAAGTGGATCTCCCTGAGTGCAGGGTGGGTGACCTTAACCAGTGGAGGCATTTCTCTTCTTACAGACCTCGTATTTTTCTTTACCAGGTTCTGTGCTCCTCTCAAGGGTCCTAAGTGTTCCTCCAACCTGAGTGTTCTGCAGGGAAACATGCTGTGTAAACACCATGCCTATTTCCTGCTTGGAGCACAGGTTTTGTAGTAGAGCTCTCAGGGGTGTGGAAGAAGCCTGGCAGCCCACACCCTATAAACGCTGTTGTCCACCTGTATGCTCTGACTTGGAGGCAGAGACCCAAGCAGCTGGAGGCTCTGTGTGTGGGTGAGTTTAGCCCCATCTTCTGGGTGTTCTCCAGCATGAGGATCGCAGACAGAGAGGACCAGCCCAGCAGCCATAGGCCTGACCAAGGCCCAGGCTGGGAAGGAGGGTGACTCCCTATTTTCCACTGAGATGTGTTTCACAGCACAGTCAACATGGATGACCTGCAAAGGCCCTCATGCTTTGATATCTTCCTTGGCCAGGTCCATCTCTACCAGGGGCTCAGCAGGGCCTAATCCGGGGAGTGGGAGAACAGACCCCAAGGAGAAGGAAGACCTAATTACTGACTGTGAGAGGGTCATCACCCCCCTGATCATCACCTTGAGGGGCCTAGGCTATGTTCATCTTTTTTTCATTCTCAGGTCGTTGATTTCTTAGAGCCTGAAAAGAAGGTAACTGCACATATGAGGGACAGATGGAGTGAGTCAGTGAGTGACCTCATCCTTGCTCCTAATAGACTGGGAGGGACAGGGCAGCTTTTCTGCAGAGCACAGAAGTCAGAGAGGTGAAGCCAGTTTCCCAGGGTAACAGTGAGGCACTGACAGAAAGGAGACTACAGTGGAGTCCAGGTCCCCGGGCTCCCCAGAGCTCCTTACTCTTCCTCCTCCTCAGCAGCCTGGAGACCCCACAACCTCCAGCCGGAGGCCTGAAGCGGGAGACCACGCCAGGTGCCTGATGATACTGGGAATTTTCCTGGGTGCTTCGGGTCTTCCCAGCACTCTGGTCTCGCCTGCCCTGCCTCTCGGGCTCTGCCCAGCTTCCTGAGTCCTGACAGAGCACAGTGGGGGAGATGTTGGCAGAGGCAGCAGATGGGCTCACGGCCATCCCTCCTGCAGGAGCAGCAGCTGGAGCCAGAGCCATGTGGCTGTGCCCTCTGGCCCTCACTCTCACCTTGATGGCAGCCTCTGGCGCTGCGTGCGAAGTGAAGGACGTTTGTGTTGGAAGCCCTGGTGTCCCCGGCACTCCTGGATCCCATGGCCTGCCAGGCAGGGATGGGAGAGATGGTGTCAAAGGAGACCCTGGCCCTCCAGGTACTGTGCTGGAGACCCCACCCTCTGCGGAGGGACACAGACCCCTTTTCAGAAGGCCCGTCTCTCTAGGTCCCTAGGCTGTGGGCCATAGTGAGCTGGGTGGGACCTGGTGGGCTCCTGGGGCCCTTAGGATGGCGCATCCTGGAGAGTCTGTCCTCATAGTGCCCATGGAGTGATAACTGGGACAGCCCCAGTGATAATGAGGGTCGAGTCTCACTAGCTCCAACCAGTTGTGGGTGACGGATCCCACACATCCATGTCCTGTTTCTCTGCAGGCCCCATGGGTCCACCTGGAGATATGCCATGTCCTCCTGGGAATGATGGGCTGCCTGGAGCCCCTGGTATCCCTGGACAGCGTGGAGAAAAGGGGAAGCCTGGCGAGAGGGGCCCTCCAGGTGAGCAGGGTGGGGCAGGTGGGCAGTGGGAACACAGGCACAGCAACCCTGAAGTCCGTTACACAGGGCTGATGGGGATCAGACAAACCCTGCAGGTTCCCCAAGAGCATTTGGCTCAACCTAAGTAAGAGAATGTGAACTTGAGGGAGAAAGCCAAAGTGTCTGGGGAGTGTGGTCACAATTCAGGGAAGGGCAGGTGTGGGAGGTCCTCCATGCCTCGTGACCGCCGATGGGGAAACACGGAGTCAGGTGTGGGACACGGGACAGCGCTAGGAGGCGGGGGAGGCGCGTCCTGGGATGCAGCACTGGGGGCGGTCTGAAGGGTGAATGTGGACCAGACATCCAGGCAGATGGTGTGATCAGGAGCCCACAGGCAGATGGGAATTTGAAGCTCAGAGCGGTAAGCAAGGCCATCAGGGCAGCGCAGAGAGCATCATGCTTGCCCTTGGTGGAGGGTGCGGGAAAGGGACTTGCCCCACAGAGGCGGGCAGACAGAGCCACTCGAGGGACAGAGCAGGAAAGAGGACAAGGGGTGGGGGTCTCAGCAGGGGCAAGGCTTCGCTAAAGAATAAGGGACCGGGGGTGTGGAGACACACTGGAGTCTTGTGGACCCTCTGAGCCTGGGGCCCGGGCGATGCCTAGCAGCAATGAAAGGGCAGAGTTCCAGGATTGCAGATGGCAAAATGCCTGCGTGGCAGCAAGTGGGGGTCTTCACTGGCCTGCCCCTCCTTCTGTGTGGGGCGCTCTCCGCAGGGCTTCCAGCTCATCTAGATGAGGTGAAGGGGTGGCCTGCCCCTCCACACCTGTGGGTGTTTCTCGTTAGGTGGAACGAGAGACTTGAGAAAAGAAATAAGACACAGAGACAAAGTATAGAGAAAGAAAAGCGGGGGCCCAGGGGACCGGCGCTCAGCTTACAGAGGACCCACGCCGGCACCGGCCTCTGAGTTCCCTTAGTATTTATAGATAATTATCTTTACCATCTTAAAGATAAGGGAGTGGCAGGACAATAGGATCATTTTTAGGGAGGAAATTAGCAGTAAGACATAAGAACAAGGATCTGTGACATGAGTAAGTTTAAAGGAAAATCCTGTGCCTTGAGATAAACCTTTTAGCAACATTGTTTCATCCTATCACATGGGGATAAACCTTGGACAATACCTAGCTTTTCTAGGAACAAAGTCACACCCTGCACGCCCAAAATCCATTAAACCACAGCACATGTCTCTTGCAAGGACAAGGTTGGGGGTAGGGTCACAGATTAACAGCATCTCAAATACAGAACAAAATGGAGTCTCTTATGTCTACTTCTTTCTATATAGACACAGTAACAGGCTGATCTCTCTTTCTTTTCCCCACATTTCCCCCTTTTCTTTTCAACAAAACCACCATTGTCATCATGACACCGAGATTACATACTTCACAAAGTAATAGAATATCACAAAGCAAGTGGAGGCAGGATGAGATCACAGGATGGTGTTAAAATTAAAATTTTTGGGCATGCATAGTCATGGATAACATCTTATCAGAAAACAGGGTTTGAGAGCAGACAACCTGTCTGACCAAAATTTATTAGGTGGGAATTTCCTCGTCCTAATAAGCCTGGGAGCGCTACAGGAGGCCGGGGCTTATTTCATCCCTTCGGCTTCAACCGTAAAAGGCGGCACGCCTCCAAGGGGTCGTTTATAGGCCTACCCTCAGAGCGCATTCTCTTTCTCAGGGATGTTCCTTGCTGAGAAAAAGAATTCAGCGATATTTCTCCTATTTGCATAATGAAAAGAGAAGAAATATGGCTCTGTTCCGTCCGGCTCACCGGCGGCCAGTTCAAGGTTGCCTCCCTTGTTCCCTGAACATTGCTGTTATCTTATTCTTTTTCCAAGATGCCCAGATTTCATATTGTTCAAACACACATGCTCCATAAACAATTTGTGCAGTTTAAGGCAATCATCACAGGGTCCGGAGGTGACATATATCCTCCTCAGTTTACAAAGAAGATGATAGAATTAAGAGATTAAAGTAAAGACAGACATAAGAAATTACAAAAGTATTAATTTTGGAGAACTAATAAATGTCCATGAAATCTTCACATTTTATGTTTTTCTGCTGTGGCTTCAGCCGGTCCCTGCGTTCAAGGTCCCTGACTTCCCGCAACGTTCTCCCTCCCTTTTCCTCTATATAAATGTGCCATGGTGATGAAGGCTTGTTCGTTAGTCAATGGTGCTCGATTGCGGTGTTTCCGTCTCCGTGGAGGCGCTTTTCTTTGCATCTCTGATGGGTTTATTGTAGAACTTCAAATGTTTAGTGGGTATCCAAACAGGAAGCTGATTTGCTCCTGGTGAAACACAAGCAAAACCTCTTCCCCAGGTTATCACCTTCCCTATTTCCCATGTCTTATTTTTGTTGTCTTTCCACCAAATCAGTTTTCCTTCATGTGGACTGTTCTTTTTACCAGTAAGATGTTGTTCTGCAGAAGCAGTAGTCTGATTTCTATAAATGTTTAAAAAATTTAAAGTATAGAGTGCTAGATTAAGCTGCATCTGAGGAGTGGTACACTCCTTACTATCTCCCCCTTTTTTTTGTTTAACTAACTGAGTTTTAAGTGTTCTATTAGTTCTTTCAACTATGGCCTGTCCTTGGGAATTATAAGGAATTCCTGTTGTATGTGTAATATTCCACTGATTTAAGAATTTTTGGAAAGCTTTACTACAATAACCTGGTCCATTGTCAGTTTTAATTTTTTCTGGAACTCCCATTACAGCAAAACAAGATAATAAATGTTTTTTAACATGGGAAGTACTTTCTTGATTATCTGGTCCTAAACAATGTAAAATCATTGTACTTTCGTACACTTCTGAAGCTGTGCCTGCGCCGACAAGTCTTGTAACAGCCTTTTGTTTAGGCCAATTTTTTGGCCATTGATTTAAAGCAATGACAGAGACATCTGCTCCAGTGTCTACCAACCCTTCAAACTGTTTTCCTTGAATAATGGCCTTACACACAGGTCTGCTCTCAGAGACCAGATTTGCCCAATATGCAGCCTTTCCTGTCGGATCAGTGCTTCCGAACCCTCCTGTTCTTTTTATCTCACTGTTTCCAACTTTAATATAAGGTAGGAGTAATAATTGAGCAATCCTGTCTCCTGGACTGGCACTCCAAGGAACTGAGGAACTAATAACCAATTGAATTTCGCCTTTAAAGTCTGAATCAACCACACCAGTATGAATTTGAACTCCTTTTAGATTTAAACTTGATCTTCCTAAAATTAGTCCTACAGTCCCCTCAGGCAATGGGCCATATACCCCTGTGGGGATTTTTTGTGGAGGCTCCCCTCGAAGCAGAGAGACTGCTTGTATGGTGCATAAATCTACTGCTGCACTGCCGTTTGTGGCGGGGGATAATTGCTGTATTGTGATAACTGGCTTATTCCCTGAGACACTTGTGGCAGTGGGGGTTGTTGTTCCTGAAAACCCTGAGGAACAAAGGGCTGAATTTGGAATGCCCCAGTTTGTTGCGGGGCCTGAGGCTGGCCCCTCCTCTCGTTTCCCGACAGTGGTTGCCCATTTTTATCAAATTTAGAACGACATTGATTACCCCAATGTTTTCCCTTTTTACATCTTGGACATAGGCCAGGTGGCTCTTTATCTGTTCTTGTAGTAGTTTGAGTAGTTACATTTTGTTTATTTGAGACTAGGCAATTCTTTTTTTGATGACCAATTTGACCACAATTATAATATCTTCCCCCAAATGTTCTAACCTGTCCTCCTAAAGCGACTCCTGTGATTGCTTGAGCCATAAGCATAGATTTATGCATAGCTCCTCCAATTCCATCGCAGGCCTTAACGTACTCTGAGATTACATCTGATCCTGCGGGAACCCTTCCTTTTAATGGCTTAATGGCTGATTGACAATCAGGATTGGCGTTTTCATATGCCATCAACTCCACTATGACCTTACGGGCATTCTCATCGGTAATTGACTTTTGAGCAGCATCTTGAAGTCTTGCTACAAAATCAGGGTAGGGCTCTTTAGAGCCTTGTCTTATTGTATTAAAGGAGGGCAGGCGGTTCCTGGATCTTGGATTTCTCCCAGGCCCTAAGGCAGATAGCCCTGATTTGCTCAATGGCCTCATTTGGCATTATTACTTGTTGGTCAACAGTGCTCCAATTTTGACCTATTCCTAATAGTTGATCTGCATCTATGTCAATTGGAGGATTGGCAGTCCTATTTTTTCGGACCTGTACTTGTGCCCCATCAATCCACCAAGTCTTAAATTGTAAAAACTGAGAGGGTGAGAGTGAGGATTTTGCCAGAATCTCCCAATCATAAGGAATGAGTCTATGTCCATGAGCAATGGAATCTAATAATGTTCTCATGTAAGGAGAGTTGGGTCCATACTGTTTTACTCCCTCTTTCATTTCTTTTAGCATTTTTATAGAAAAAGACATATATCTGGCTTCAGCTATGGGAAGCTCTCCCTCTTGGGCCCCTTCTCCAGGTGGTCTTGCTTCTAATATTACTGGGAATTGCCACGCCTCAATATCTCCTTGTTTTCTTGCCTCATCAATAATTTTATGTAACGCACTACCCTGTGTACTAGGCAGTGCTGTAGGATTAAGTCTCATGGTGGGCGGTTGAGGATATGGTACCCTGCCCTGTGGCGCTGGAAATGTTCCTGGCTGTCCACACAGATTTTCTGGGGGCAACCGATACCACAGTTCGGCTGGCAGCCAGTATTGATAGGCTACTGGCGGCTGGGTCTTATCTTCTACCGGCTGATATTGTGGACACTGCATTTGGAATGGCATTGCCATGACAGAAACTCTATTTTTTTTCTATTTGATCTTCTTTTGGAGTTTGTACTTGTTTAACCTGCATTTGAGGTTGTAAAGTTACAGGCATTTGAGCTGCTGGAAGAGCAGTTGGCCATCGTGGTTTAGACTCTGATGGCTCTGCTAATTCTGGATTTTTTCTTCTAATTTTAACGTTTCAGGATATACTACCTCCTGTAATTGATTATTGTCAACATTTTGCGTTGACCGAGCCATAGCCGGCTCTGATACACATTCACAGTGTGAACTTTCCTTCCTTTCCGGGATTCTATCCCTGCCTCTTTTCATAATCTACTGCACAGCTTTTAGGACATCAGAAATTGGAACGCTATCTTCTTCTGTTTGCAACGGTTCTAAAGCTACTTTAATAATGACCCAATCATTCCATACTGTGAGCGGAATGATTTTACCTTCCCTGCTTGCTTGTTTTAATTCTTTGCCAATTTTTTCCCAATCTTTTAGATCTAAAGTTCCCTGTTCCGGAAACCATGGACAAAACTGCTCTATTGTTTGAAACAGCGTAATTAGATTTTTGGTAGAGATTTTAACTCCCCCTCTTTTTAAGAGAATTTTAATAAAGCTGCGATAAGAGGCATATTTACTCTTAGTTTGCCCCATTGTTACCCTAGGTTCTTCCGAGCGCACAAGCTTACCGCAAGGCTGACTGTAGACGTACTCGGGAGTCTCTCGTCGACTTGTCCTCAGTGACCACGCTCCAGCGTACCTTCACCTTAGAGAAAAGCTTCCACGTTGGGCACCAGATGAAGGGGTGGCCTGCCCCTCCACACCTGTGGTGTTTCTCGTTAGGTGGAACGAGAGACTTGAGAAAAGAAATAAGACACAGAGACAAAGTATAGAGAAAGAAAAGCGGGGGCCCAGGGGACCGGCGCTCAGCTTACAGAGGACCCACGCCGGCACCGGCCTCTGAGTTCCCTTAGTATTTATAGATAATTATCTTTACCATCTTAAAGATAAGGGAGTGGCAGGACAATAGGATCATTTTTAGGGAGGAAATTAGCAGTAAGACATAAGAACAAGGATCTGTGACATGAGTAAGTTTAAAGGAAAATCCTGTGCCTTGAGATAAACCTTTTAGCAACATTGTTTCATCCTATCACATGGGGATAAACCTTGGACAATACCTAGCTTTTCTAGGAACAAAGTCACACCCTGCACGCCCAAAATCCATTAAACCACAGCACATGTCTCTTGCAAGGACAAGGTTGGGGGTAGGGTCACAGATTAACAGCATCTCAAATACAGAACAAAATGGAGTCTCTTATGTCTACTTCTTTCTATATAGACACAGTAACAGGCTGATCTCTCTTTCTTTTCCCCACATGAGGAGCTCCAAGCCACACTCCACGACTTCAGACATCAAATCTTGCAGACAAGGGGAGGTAAGGGGACCCCCTGGGCCTCACAGGGTAGGAGTTTCCCACAAATTCTCCTCATTCTCGGCAGCAGCTTCTAGAACATAGAGATGACAAACAGGCACGCACATGTCAGGTCTTGGGGAAAGGAATGATGCTTGCTTTTCTGATGTCTTTGAATGGCCCAGAGGAGACAGAACCCGACACACTTCACTCCGCATTTCACAGGAAAGCAAGTTCTCCACCCATCTTACTTTCCACTGAATCCCTGGAAATGGCACCATTTCTGGCAATAAGTAAGTGTTACTTAGGTGAATGAATAAATGGAGGAGAGTCTAAAAATGAATTTAGAAAACTGCAATTGGAAGAGGAAGAGAAGACACAGAGAGAGGCAGATGGAGAGGCTGGGGAAAGTCCGGTGGCCGAGAGCCCAGGTAAGGAAGGTGGCTTAGAGACAAAGCAGTCAATGGCCTGACCCAGTCTCCTCTGCTCCCAGCCCTCAGTCTACAGGAGTCCATACTGGCAGTAGGAGGGAAGGTCTTCTCCACCAATGGGCAGTCTGCCACTTTTGATGCCATTCAGGAGGCATGCGCCAGAGCAGGCGGCCACATTGCTGTCCCGAGGAATCCAGAGGAAAACGAAGCCATTGCAAGCTTCGTGAAGAAGTACAACACGTATGCCTATGTGGGCCTGACTGAAGGACCAAGCCCTGGAGATTTCCGCTACTCAGATGAGACCCCTGTAAACTACACCAACTGGTACCCAGGGGAGCCCGCGGGTCGGGGAACAGAGCAGTGTGTGGAGATGTACACAGACGGGCGGTGGAATGACAGGAACTGCCTGTACAACCGACTGACCATCTGTGAGTTCTGAGAGGCATTTATGCCACGGGACAGGGAGGATCCTGTCTGGCCTTCAGCCTCCATCCCGAGGCTCCACTTGGTCTGTGAGATGCTGGAACTCGCTTTCAATAGAATTCACTTGTGGCTATTAGAGCTGAAGGCATCCTTAGCCACTTCATTCCCCTAATGGGCCCTGACTCTTCCCTGGCCAGCCTTGACACTTCCCTTGCAAACCCTCCCAGCACTGCACCCCAGGCAGCCACTCCTAGCCCTGGCCTTCAGCATGAGATGGAGCCCTCCTTATTCCCTATCTGGTCCAGTTCCTTCACTTACAGATGGCAGCAGTGAGGTTTTGGGGTAGAAGGACCCTCTGACGTCACAGAGTGCCTGCCTCCTGGTCCCTTTTGCTCTCCCTCTGCAGCCCACTGCCTGCCCAGTGCCATCAGGATGTGCAGTCCTGGCCAAGCATAATGGCAGAAAGAGGTGGACTTCAGGGAAACCCTACGTGGAGCTAAGGCCACAGTGGAGATTCTCTGGCACTCTGAGGTCTCCAGGGCAGGCCTGGTCAGGTTCTCCAGGTGGTCAGAGGGCCCAGTGGTGCCCCAGCACAGTGGTGTCCAAGCCAACCCCGTGACTGACATGTACGATTTACTCCTTTGAGTCTTTGGATGCCAACTCAGCCCCCTGACCTGAAGACAGCCGGCCTAGGCCTCTAGGGAAGAGCCCCCCAGTGCAGACGTGATCCAAGTAACTTTCTGCTGATGAACGACTCTGCACCCCACTTCAGACCTCGGTGGGCATTCACACCACCCCCTCCCCCCACACCACCGGCTCCACTTTCCCCTTCCATTAATCCATTCACCCAGATAATCATTAAAATTAACGTGTGCCAGGTCTTAGGATGTGTCTTGGGGTGGGCAGGGTACCCAGTGACTCTTGGGGATATTTATTCTCCCTGAGTCTATGTCTTCATCTGTGAAATGGGGATAAAATACTTGTTGCTGTCACAATTATTACCATCTCTCCAGCTAGCAAAATTACTACCAGAGCTGTTACTAGACACAGAGGCTATTGACCGAGCACATACCACGTGCCACACACCTTGATAAGCAATTCTAATACAGCTTATTATGTACTATTCAATCTTCACGCAATGTCACGGGACCAGTATTGTTTACTCCATTTTCTATAAGGACACTGAAGCTTGGAGGAGTTAAATGTTTTGAATATTATTCCAGAGAGCAAGTGGCAGAGGCTGGATCCAAACCCACCTTCCTGCACCTGAAGCTTATGCTTCCAGCCACCCCACTCCTGAGCTGAATAAAGATGATTTAAGCATAATAAATCGTGAATGTGTTCACATGAGTTTCCATAGCTTTGGCTCCAAGAAACATCACATTTCTGTATTTTTGTAAATCAAATGAACTCTGGTTCTGAGCCCCCACTTTCCTCAAGATTGGAAAATTCAATCTCAGGATGTGCTTTCTTTGTTTGATGGGAGGGGCGACCTGCTCTCCTCCCTGAGATGGTGCAGGGGGATGGGGAGCTACAGACACCATTTTGAAGAACACATGGGCATCATGAATCCACATGGTCCATTTGTGGGTGGGGATACCATGCCTTCCATCCTCCATGCAGCCATCTGAATGATTTCTGCAGCCCAGCAGTGATGGTGGCACTCAGGGCTCAGTCCCAGGCCTCAGTGAGCCATCCTAGTCTCATGTTGGCTTGGAATGGGACCACTCTCCCATGACCCAGGGCTGTGCAGGAATGAGACAACATCCCCAATTGCTTGAGGAGGCAGCCACATATGTGTCCCACCTCCAGAAAGGCTCCCACTCCTCCCACCCTCACACCGGAGAACGCTCTCTTTCATGGATTTACTGCTTTTCTTGGGCAGAGAGAAGCTCTGGGTCAAAACCCACAAAATCAGATGAGAAATAGGGGAACAATTTGTGATTGTTTTCTGAATGATAATTTTTAATCTGGTCACCATTCCACATGTGCTTGGGACCCAGCACAGAAATTATTGAGCCTTCCCCTAAATTAAGAGAAAACCAAGGAGAAGCATGTACAAATGTTCCTCGACTTATGAGGTGGTTAGGTCCTGATAAACACATTGCAAAATGATATCTTAAATGGAAAATGCGTTTAATACATCTAACCTACCAAACATCATAGCTGAGCCTAGACTACTTTAACCATGTCCAGAACCCTATGTTAGCCGGCAGTTGGGCGAAATTATCTAACACAAGCTCTATTTTATAATAGGGTGCTGACTATCTCATGGAATTTATTGACTACTATACAGGAAGTGAATGAATGGTTGTATGTGTCCTTGAAGTGTGGCTTCTCCTGAATTCACATCGCTTTTGGACCAATGTAAAGTCCGTAAATTATAAGTCAAACCACCATAAATCCAGGACCATGTGTATTCCCAAGTTTATAAGTAAATACGCCAAGTCAATGAAAATTGATGTCTTCTTATTTCTTGTTAGGATTATTTTTACTTTCTTTATGCTTTTATTTGCTATTGTTACTATTTTATCATATTTTAAATTAATTATTGCTGGTTTATGAGAAAAACTCTTCGTTTACTTTTTATTCATCTTATACCCAACCATCTTTTTGGATTCTCATTTTTTTTCCTAATATTAATACTTCTAAGATAATTGATTCTTTTTTTTTGTTTGTTTTTATTTTTGAGACAGGGTCTCTCTTTGTTGCCCAGGCTGGAGTGCAGTGGCACAATCTTGGCTCACTGCAACATCTGCTTCTCGGGTTCAAGTGATTCTCCTGCCTCAGCCTCCCAAGTAGCTGGGATTACAGGCGTGTACCACCACGCCTGGCTAATTTTTGTATTTTTAGTGGTGACAGGGTTTCACCATGTTGGCCTGGCTTGTCTTAAACTCCTGACCTTAAATGATCTTCCTGCCTCGGCCTCCCCAAGTGTGGGGATTACAGGCATAAGTCACCTTGCCCAGCCAATGATTCTTTTATATTTTATAGATTAATAGTTACATTTACGAAGGATGGAAATTTGATCTGTCCTTTTATGACATTTATATTTTTTCCATCTCATTTCTTAGCTCCACCACAGGAGCTCAGCTAAAGGGGGAGTAGAAGGGACTGAGCAGTGCACCCTTCCCTCCTCCCATCTTGGACCTGGGATGCGAACGCACACTGACCACCTCTGGTTCACTCTCTCTCTTCTGCCATGAAGCCTACAATGAACCATGGTGAGGCAGGAGGGTTATGGAGGGCTCCAGCAACAAAGCCTTTGTGAACACAGTAAGGTTTTCTTTTTGTTTTTCATGAGAGACACAGGAAACTGTAAAGGAATACTTGAATTTGGGCCTGACCTTGTCATATTTTTCTCATAGAAAGATCATTCTGGCTGATACACCAAAGATGTGCCTGAGATCTGCAGGAGTAGATGCTGGGGGACTTCCCTGAACAGCTGTAATTATGTAATAGTCCAGGTAAGATTTTTTTTTTTTCTTAGTTAGAAGCCTACAGAACCAAAGAATGAGTCATGGACAATAGCTATTAGTTATTCCTCAATTATCTGCCCCGGTGATGGCTCAGTAATGGTAGGGTTGCTGGGTTCAGAAAATAAAAATATAGGCCAGGCATCGTGGCTCACGCCTGTAACCCCAGCACTTTGGGAGGCCGAGGCAGGTGGATCACGAGGTCAGGAGTTTGAGACCAGCCTGGCCAACAGAGTGAAACTTGTCTCTACTAAAAATACAAAAAAATTAGCGGTGCATGGTAGCAGATGCCTGTAATCCCAGCTACTTGGGAGGCGGAGGCAAGGAGAATCACTTGAACCTGGGAGACGGCGGTTGCAATAAGCCGTGATGGCACCACTGCACTCCAGCCCGGGCGACAGAGTGAGATTCTGTCTCCAAAAAAAAAAAAAAGAAAAGAAAAATATAGGACATCCAGTTAATTTGAATATCAGATACATAGGTAATTTATTCAGTGTGTCGTATGCAATATTTGGGACACACTTATTCCAAAAATTTGTTCAATGTTTATATGAAGTTCACATTCCACAGATTCCAAAATGCTTTGCATTTTACCTGGCAACCCTACCTGTAGGGGCCTGGACAAGCAGAGGCTTTGGGTGAGGCAGGAGACACTTCCTGTGGTTAGTGGCATGTGACGATGTGACTTGGGACCATACCATCAGACTTGTACCCCAATGCCTTTTGGCTCAGGAATGAATGTGAAGTCTTTCCCAAGCTCTGTACATGGTGAGCAGGGCCACTGAAGCATGGTATGTATGAGCACAGATAAGGCTGGTATTTCCAGCACACTCTGGCTCTCCCCTCGGCAGGACATCCAGGAGCCTGGGGTAGGAATCCTCTGGGTTTGCCTCATTTCCACCCGCTGCAGCTGCCCAGCATCCACCTAGCCTAGCGTGAGTCTTCTCCTGGAGGCTTCCAGAGGTGTTTCCATGAATAAATAGGGAGGACGGCAAGGCATGACAAAGGGACCGGAGCAAAGGAAAGGACCAAATGTGGCTGGCATGCCTCCGACAAGCCTTCTGGAGTGTGAGTATCTGTCAAAGCAGAAATGAAGACTTGGGAAGAGGAGCTTCTTATGGTGTCTAACTGTCTCTTTCTCTGGGGCAGTGGGCTCCAGACACTTTTAGAACCACACGTACAAAGCCCCCCGGGGCTTAGGCTCTCCAGGGAAAGCTATGCTCAGGCAGGGGCATAGGACAGGCAGGCAGCAGGGGCAGGAAAGGCTAGCAGCTCTTCCCTGGCTAACAGGTGGGGTTCTGCCTCCAGCTGCCTCCCCAGAACAGAAGCCAGATGAGCTGCCCCGAAGTCACCTTGGGGAGTTAGGGGACGCATCTGCCACATACACTGTGTTGGGAGAGAACTTTCAGCTGACTGCAAGCTTCCCAGGCTGCTCCCAGTGGAAAGTCTGACTCCTGGGCTGGGAGGTTCCTTCTCTGCCAACACCCTGCTCTGAGCCTACAGACAGGCAGTGAACAGTGCGGTTGGCGTCTCCCTGCAGCTCCAGCTGAGCCTTTGGGGTCATATCTCAAGGGGCTATTAAGGGAAATCATCACCTCAGGAACGGTCATCTCTTTTTTTTGCTATAGTCACAATTTAAGGAATTGTGTGAAACAGTCAAGTGGGGGCAGACATTAGATTTCAAGAGATCTCAACCACTCCAAAATATGGCCTGAGCCTGTGCCACCCAACCTTCTCGACCCCATAGACTTCATTCCTTCATTCATTCACTTGTTCCAACTTTTGCCAGTATTTCCCAAGTACCTACCTTGTGCCAGCCTGAAGGCAGGAAGCACACAGTGAGGAAGGGACAGAACCCCCCTGCTAGCCAGGGAAGAGCTGCTAGCCCTTCCTGCCCCTGCTGCCTGCCTATTCTGTGCCCCTGCCTGACCATCATGGTCTCATATGGTCTTTCATTGACTGAAAAGTCCTCATGCACCACTTGACTGTAGTTAAGATGGCTGACTCTTTCCACTCTGATTTCCCCTCCATCTCATTGCTCCTCACACCCCTCATGTTGGAGTGCTCATAGACATTTTTAGGCTCTGGCTAGGGATGAGACAGCTTTATGTAGTTTACGGTCACTTCTATGTGTGGTTGCATTACTGCTAGTCTTCCAGCACAGGAATGGCTTCCAGGAATATTGTTCTGATTCAGCCAGCAGGGTCAGAGATGATATCTAAATAATAAACATTTCCCCAGCACCTGTTTTCAGAAATACGTCAGCAGTGGAGGAGAAACAAGTACGGATCCAGAAACTAGTCTATGGAAAACTCTCTCCCCTATCATATGTATAGAGTTGTAAGCTTGTAAGGCTGTTCACATCCATGCCTATTTAAAATGGAAGTTCTCTCCTGCAGAGAATATACTCAATAGTGCAATATATACACTTACAACACAGACATATAAATACGTCTCTTTTGAACAATTTCGGTAAATGTATTTTGCTAGAGCTCCTGTGTAGTAAGGCAGAACTAGAGGAGTACTGCAAATAGAAGCAAGCTTTTGTGTGAAATGAGATGTCTTATGCATCTCACTGTATCTGATTACATCTTAGCTTGTCTGATATATTTTATCCCAGTGAAGTCCACAAGTTCTAGATGTGCACACTAAGAAAGATTACATTTTATAACTCGATATGAAATATTAACATCTACAAAGACAACATAAAACTCAATCTACTGTTACAACAAGACCGTCCATGACAGGTTGGGAAAGAGTTAAGTAGCAGCCACACCCCAAAGACCAGCTGTGAGAGCACAGAGGCACCTGATGGTGCCTCTGCCTGTTCTGCACTCTCCTTGAAAGCAACATG